TGTCGACTATCAAAATAATTAGGCAGAACACTTGAACATTGATCACATTGCTACAATATAAAAAGTGTTAACATTCTATAAGCAATCAATTTAAACAATATTCATCTATTATTTTATACAGGCAATAAAAATTTAAATAGATAAGCAATAAAATGTAATACAGTTTTAATTATATAATCAAAACTCTAATCCCAAAATGTAATTTTCTTTTTCTACGAACAATCGCTGTCTTCTTATAGAGCAAGGTGATTCTTGAGAGATATTGCTTATGAAAAAAATGTAGTGCAAAAGATTAGAAACGCAAGGCGAAACAGCTGGTTTAAGTAGAGTTAATCTATAAAGCCCTCTGATAGTAAAAGCGGATCCTCGCGGGCACAATTAAACGGTGGATTTACGATATTGTGTTCGAGAGGACAGACTGTATCCCCTCCCCCTTTAGAGTTCACACGGGGGTATTAAATAATGATTTTTACATCCGATAATCCCAGAGGAGAATCGCTATGGACTTGAAAAGCAATGAAGAAGAACTTTAAGAGTTGTTCAATCCTCAGGGACGATCACGATTTTTGCATTAAAATCGATTGCTCGAGGAATTTGAAAGTTGCATTAAAAAGTTCCCATAAAATATCGTGACTAGGTTAAAAATTATCGCGAAAAGTTTAAATAAAATACCGTTTATGTAACAACATAAATATAGTAGAGAGCGCCTAGAATCGGTCAAAGTTAATTGTTTCGAGTAATATAATATTCTTGATTCATGAATTTAATTTATCTGAAATATGATTGTGCGCCGAAACGTTCGGACATTTAAACATAATCAATGATTAGTATCTCAGATTGATTCAGATAAATTCAATTCATTGAAAAAATATTATATTATTTAAAATCTAAGTTTGATTCTAAGTGTTCTTTACTATAGTTATGTTGTCTAAATAAAATATGTAATTTATCCGACCTAATCTGACACAATAAATAAATTAATTCTCTTCTCTAATTCTTTAAAGCTATCTTTTTTTTTAATTAAAAAAAAATTTATTTTTTGCTTTTATACATTTTCCTTTAATACATCTTCTCTAATATTTAAATTCGTGGTAATTTTACTCGCATGTTGAATAATTATGCTAATTGAAGGATAAATTAGCTTAATATTAAATTCTTTTCTTTTCCAACTATCATCGAAAGCGATGAGAAATCATTCCACGAAATGATTAATCGATTGAGAAGGTCAGTAACACGGGTTAACATACTGATTTCCGGTAATGGACGCACTCAGGCGTTAATTTCGAATGACCATCTCAGGATCATACCGTTAGCATCTCCTTTATCGCAAACAACTTGACTTCCTACCACGTGCCAGGAATTACTTAAGTCACGAGTAAGTTAATATACCGTAAAGGTTGAATCGGGAGATATCAATCTGCTCGGGGGCGAAGGAATGATCCTATACAGGAATTACAGGATCCCTGAAATCGTGGAGCTTTTTACTTCGATTCTATCGCGTTTGAAGAACTTATTTTCAGAGTCACGTAAATTCATGCTTTTAAAAAACGGAAATTATGTGTCGCGGTATTGAAAGGTTCTTTATCATTCATCATTGTCATTTTTTTTAAATACAGACTTAGAGAAGTGTTTGAAAAAAAATCAACCCATTCCTTTGTTTATGGAACACTATGCGCTATACTTGTTGCGGCAAAGTGTTTTGTAGTCCGACGATTTCCAATTGGATAAGCGATGGGGGAATTTATCGATACCGGAAAATAAATACGGCATTAATCTGCTGTAATTGCGCAACGGGAAAGTATCAGAGGTGCTAATTTATGAACTTTATTACAGACTTGAGAGCCGAGCCGAGCTGGCTCTTCGAACGGAAGATTCGGGATTTACACTCTCTTAACGCTGATGAATGTTCTAATTGTGTACTGATAACTTGATATTGAAGCATATACTCGCTTCGTTTCACCTTAATCACCCTTGCAATTAATAACGAAGGGAGAGATTGTGAATCGAGCTGTGAAAGACGATGAGCTTCCGCAATTTCACGTATATGAAGTTCTTTTGTGTGAAGTTTTTAATTATATATTTTAATACATAATTAAATTATTGTTGAACTATATATGAAAAATCATCACAAAAAAGAAAAAAACTAAAACTAAGTAAAAAGAAACAAAAAAAGAACAAAAAATATAAATAGGAAAACAAAGACGCAAAAGAAACAGATTGTAGAAAGAAATAGATTATAGAAAGAAAAGAAATTGTCTTTGCTTCAAAGTGACATAATTTCAAAAATTACATTTTTTAAAAAAGAAGAAAATATTATTAATATTATTAATTATTTTTCAACTTGACAGAAAAATATTGATTAATCAAATATCGGTAAAAGAAATATATTCTTATAGCAAATTCAATTGGATGCACCTGATACTGATACATATTAAAACTGTCATACAAATTTACGTAAAAATATGTGTTTAATATAAATATAGAAACATTAGAAACATAGAAACAGATAAGTTCCTATATTTATAAATGCTGAAATAACTTGTTTAAGTAGTCATATATTATACATGTATTTATTTATTCAAACAGAGACTAATAGCATATTTTTTATAGAAACATTTCTTCACAAATTATTTAAAAGCAAACTATTACTTATCTAACGTCGCTAAAGAAACGTGCTGTTATATCGATGCTATTTCGTAATAGCTATTGGTTGGATGATTGGATCACTACTGATGTCTGACAACCTAACCTGAAACTACCACAACACTGATCGATGTGTTATTTCAAGTCATTCGAGTTCAGAAAAAACAGAATTTACTGAAGAAGAAGCAGAAGTACGATTACGTCAGGATGTCCGGATACACCGGCCAGGATAACAATTATTGGGCTCCGCCACCAATATCACAGGGCCAGTTCAATTTTGATGCGTCCGGTTTTGGCCAACCTAACCAACAATTTGAATTTCAAACATACGAGCAGATGCCCGGCGATTATTCGTACGGGCAAAAGAGTTTCCTGGATCCTACACAGAGTTCCTACGGCGGTGATTTGTTCACGCAAGACGATTATGCGAAAGGTAAAGAAAGAGATTGAAATGGCGTGCCCGCAATCATCTTAATTCTCGAGCTGACAGAATTGATATCAACGCGTACGTGGCACATTCATAAACTGGAAAGTAGATAATTTACGACACGGAAATCGTCCGAATATAATTCAAAGGACATTTATGAAAATTCGTTATCGCACGATTAGAAATAACGAATAGCGTTATATTTGATGTATCAAGACATCCACTCGAGGATTGAGATATTAGCTGTTGTATGAGAAACCTTGAAGATTCTTGACATTCTTTCAGGCACCACTGGTTTTGGAGAGGAAGAAGATGAGCCACCTCTGTTAGAAGAGCTTGGTATCGATCCTGATCGGATAATACAAAAAACTTTGGCTGTATTGAATCCCTTTCATAGGAAGGGACAGATCGACGACGCAAGTTATTTGTTGCAAGACTCAGATTTGGCAGGACCTGTGGCATTCTGCTTAGTCCTTGCAGCATTTCTTCTGTTAGCTGGTTCAAAGGCGCACTTTGGCTATGTATATGGATTGGCCATGACTTCCTGTATACTCATGTACATTCTACAATCTCTAATGAGTAGCAGCAGTAACATCACCATGTCATCTGTTGCATCTGTATTAGGATATTGCTTGTTGCCAGTAGTTGTTCTGGCAGGCTTTGGTGTCTTCACTACATTGCGAGGCCCGATGGGATTGATTCTCGCAATTCTGGCTGTTGCTTGGGCATCACTCTCTGCTTCTAGACTTTTTTCCACTATGTCAGGAGAAGAAGACCAGAAACTTCTTATAGCTTATCCATGTCTACTTCTTTATGGCGTATTTACATTGATAATTATATTTTAAGAAAAGAATCGAATGTGTATATAATTTTTATCCTTGATCAAACAAATTTCTCAGATTTAAACAAGAATTTTTTGTTTTCACACATATTGGTGCCAACGATTATATACGATGAAACAATATTTATATTTTTTTGCACATTTAGTAACACGATAATCTATATTGTCGATAGTGCTATAGAATAATATATAATTAGTTTTCTCGCATCTTAATAATTTTCTAGATTATTTTATATATTAATAAGCATATTTTGCTACATATGCTTATTTTAAGGGTAACATGTGAGCATATATTATATTTAGTGCTAAAATTAGTTTAAGCCATTTGTTACTATTTCTAAATAAAGTTTATGATATTAATTTGTGTTATCCTTGTCAAATATTGTTAGCATGTAGACTGCAAGCCTAATTTAATTATACTGTATTATTAAACACTAAATAATTTACGAAGTCGATATTTCTTCATTTTTAAAAATACAATTTTTTTTGTATATATATATATATATATCTTTACTAAAAATTTTAATTTTAATAGCTAGGACTTATTTTAAGTTGATTAAAAATGTATTTCTCAGCATACGTATAAAAATTTGTAATAATAAATAATCTGGCTGCATAACACTTAAATAATTTAGCACTATAGTCATAAGAATTAATAATCATTCAATATCAAAATCACATTCAAGATCAAAAACATTTGATTTTTCGATATATCAATAAGATTCTGTAATAAAATTACGCTGATAGCATAATATATTTTTGTAATGTTATCCTAAATATTATTGCAATATATCCAAATAAAATTATCCAAATACAAAGGAATCGTTATTTTTTTTTATTTTCCTGTCAGTTCTTTTTCCTCTTAACTTTCTACTTGAAAAACTCCTGGAAAATGATACGATGATTTGTCTGAATGCGCTCACTAGATCTTTTTTTTTTTTTTGCAGGTGTTCCATCTGACCCAGCACAAGTGCAACAACCAATTTTAGTTTGTACGGCGCACATTCATTGGGATCCCGAGTTCTGCGATGTAAAACTAATACAGACGATGATGCTGAGCAATGAATTACGTTCCATTTTGGACCAAGCTGGCCAGTCTTTCAGACCCGGCCACAAGCCTGACTCTTCCAACGTTCAACTGTTGCTTTGTGGCGACTTCAATTCTTTACCTGATTCTGGTAACGCACGTATTAATGATCTCATTTAAATTTTTCTTTAAGTTATCTATTTTGTTATGTATTGTAATAATCATACTAATGTATGTATGTTAACTGATAAAAACGAAACTAATAGTAGTAAATCATTGGCGCAGGTGTGATCGAGTTTCTTACATCCGGACGCGTGGCGGCCGATCATCGTGATTTTAAGGATTTAGCATATAAATCGTGTTTACAAAAGATCTCTGGCTGCGATAAACCCAACGAATTCACGCATTCTTTCAAGCTTGCATCCGCCTACAGTGAGGACATTATGCCCTACACCAACTACACGTAAATACACTTATTATTTCTTTGTGCAATATTTTATATATGTGTATAGTATATACACACGAATATCTAACGCGTTTGTTTTGCACTTACAGATTCGAATTTAAAGGCATAATAGATTACATTTTCTATTCGAAACAAAGTATGGTGCCACTGGGCCTCTTGGGTCCGTTGAGCCCAGAATGGTTTAAAGAGCATAAAGTGGTAGGATGTCCTCATCCTCATGTTCCATCGGGTGAGTTTCATTTTATGTTTCACTTTTTATGTTTCATTTTTACTCACATTCCGTTAATGAAGGTAAGAATGGCACTAACATTTTGTTTTTTATTTTAGATCACTTTCCTCTGTTAGTGGAGTTAGAGATGACACCGACAGTAGGAACAAGCAACGGTTTGATCTCACGCAGGTAGCAGCCGCTGCGATCTAGGCCCAAGTAACCGTAAGAAGACGAAGAATTAATAACGAAAATAAAAAGGGGGGAAAAAAGGATTTGCATCACTTCTTCTCTACTTCTGGCTCTAGCAATATCACTCGCATTACTCTTACTATAATAGCGAATGTTACACACAAATACTCCATACATTGCCGCACATTCAATCAACAGCGATCGCTGTCGACGGGATACCGACGGGATACCGACGAACACAATTCTAACGACCAGGTGAAGGGAGCCGTGTTGTAATGCGTTTAGCTAGCCCATGTATAGTGTATTGCATTTTTAAGAACTATCTTACTCCCATGCCTAAAGATTATTGTAATCTCTCTATTTACCATCGTAATATGTGTAGATACCTATTTTCCTACAAAAAAGTAATGAAAATGAAAACGACGATATTCCGATCAAGAAGCCTCTGTGATATCGACATTTAACACAATTGGAACACATTTACACATTTATTAGTAAACTAGTAGTGGTGTACTAGAGAGAGAGAGAGAGAGAGAGAGAGAGAGAGAGAGAGAGAGAGAGAGAGAGAGAGACATACCTTAAAGGGAATCTCCCTTCGCCCCTTCCTAAATGTCATTACAACATTCTCCAAGCCAACCTTTTGATAAGAATGCTGCCATCCACACAATGAGAAAAAAGAAAAAAATTGTATTTTTAAATGAAACGAAAACAAAAAAAGATATGAAATACATGCTATACTGGGCTGTGCGAAGTGATTGAAGTGATCGACTTAAAACAATTTCAATGCAAGTACAAATCTGTTCTTATTGGCCACGTATATATTGATATAATATGGTAATGTTATATAAGGAGAACAAGAAAACATATATAGATAATAATGTAGCGGGTGTATTTGTAAGTATGATATAATGTAATGATGTTCATCACACACGTCTGTCATAACATCAAGTGAGATCAGTTCAACATTCGCCCCGCACTTTAGGTATCCATTTGGGTCCGATTAATGTATATGTGCTCTGTATCACAATCTACTACTTGTTAATTCAGTTGCCACCGAGGAACACAAGAGAATTTTTTTTTTTTATATACAATCACGCGCGAACGTCTTCGCGTTCTTTCCACCACTGCATTTCTATTTGCATGATATCTTGCTTATCTTTAGTCGCAGCTACCAAAAAAAGAATATGTAGGCTCTAATTATTTTAGTTATCGTAGAAAATATCTATTAGACAGTTTTTAACAATATTATATAAAATAGGCAATATTTTGAATACATGATTACAGTGCAAATGTACGTGCACATAACTTGCACGTTAAATATCTATTTCTGGATTTACCTCATTTGCAATTTTTATTTTTCATTAATTTATTTGATGCAAATGATTAAAACGTGCAATCTGTATTTACAACACTTTACACAGATATACACTGATTCGCTAAAAGTTTTATCGAAATAAGGAAGACTTTTTTATATTGCTGTATATAATCTATTCTTTAATTTTATCTCCTGCAGCAATAGTTAATTTCTAGATATTAGGCATGTAGATATAATTTTTCTCATGTACGTGTTGTAAATATGACGATGGGATTTTGCAATTAATACACAGCTTATTCTTTTCTTTAAAGAATACATAATTTGTAATAATTTAATATACGCATATATTAATATATTCTGTAATATTGTGTTACAGAATTCAATATCGTGCATTGTATATTATTTCATAATTTTGTTTTTCAAAATTGTTCATTAAGATGCAAAAATACTTAAATTTTTCGTATATAAATTGTACATGTGTGCAGATCTCATGAAATATTTTTTAAGTTTCTATAATGTGCGATAAACAATGTAATTATAGTCGCATTGATTCAAGCAGGATAACAATTTACCAATGTGAACGACATTGAACACGATCGGAAAGATACGTAAGTTCATGACACAAATTATTATTAGGACCCGGACGTTCGTGTATGATCATGGAGCGCGCACGGAAAACCGCTGAATAAACGAGTGAATCGAATGTTTGCTAATGTGAGATAACGATATTTCGGCTTGCACACGACCTCAAAAATAAACAAGATGCGCAATGATTCTCCGCATGAATATTCGGGCCCTAATTATTCGTAAATATTTTATGAATATTGTAGTGTAGTAAATTGATCTCGTTACATGGCACAATCGATGACTAAGAACGTAATAAATTTTCCATTTGAAAGAGTGAAGATTTTTAATTTATGCGTTAATTCGGGATTCCAACAACTGAATTACACAAGTAAAAGATTAGTTTATCAAAGACATGTGTGTAGTAAATGTTGTATAAAGTAGATAATTACGCTATAGTTTATAATTATCTCAATGAGAAAAGAGGCGGCATCTCTTTGGTATTTGTATATTTCTTCGTATTAAGCATGTGTTTTCACATGGCAAGCGAATGACGTGATGTATTAAAATCCATTGCCGGCTGCTCTGGGCCTAATTTTAAATCATCGGAATAAAGACGAATAGGTGAGAAGTGGCGGATTTTTCTCCGATAATAACGATGAAAATATCTGGAAAAATCTTATAATTTGTGCTATCTTATAAAAAGGAAAACGAACAAGTATGATAATGATCATTTTTAACTCGCTCCTCTTTTAATATTATGATGTATCACGTAGCAAAAGAAAATTAGTACAATTCGTAATATCTCTTAACTAGTATATCGAATGTGGAAATGTATTTTGCAGCATGAAAGTACCTATGTTTCCTTCGCGATAAATGAAAAATCTTTCGTGGCGAATTTGATGATCACTAATGCACGAAAATTCTTCGGATTAGAAACAAATTGCGATTTCTTTGCAAAAGAAATTTATTACCCTAACAGTTACAGGATACGACGTGAGAAGTGACGCGAAAAATCATAATTTTATCAACAGTATTTGAGATTGCATGGGTATTTTCATTGCTTCGTCCGTAAAGATCATTCTGTAATTGTCTCCTAATCTATTCTAGCAAAGAAAAAAGAAAACGGAAAAAAACAGTGGTATATACGTTGTATCAATTCACTATTCTATTCTTTTTAAATACGTGAATACGCGCGGATTGCGTTTTAGGATAAATATAACGATTAATTGTAATGCGAATGGGAAAACAAGCGCCGGAGACTTTGTTCGATCAGTTCGACGTCTCCGACGTGTAATAAAAAAATCTTTTACGTAAAAAGAAAAGGAAGAAGACGAAGATGATGAGGAACGGGAAAAACGTGCGGTTACGGCATATATACAGCGGCACATACTTTTGCTTTGTGAATAGGGAAGAGCGAAGCAAGTCGGGTAACACACAAACACACGTGCTCTCATGCATTTTTGGCTGTCGCGCGAAGCCGCCTACGCCATAGTATTTCAGATATATTAACTTTGGAGTAACGGAAGCTCTCGAGAAGATTAATGATTCAGATAATATATACTTTAACTTAAGTAACACGAACACTCGCGTAGTATTCGTCGAACGCGATGATTTTGCAGAACGATAATTCTTAGCCGATCCTCTGAAATTAACATTTAATAACATCATAAGAAGAAACTAAAGAACTCGATTTCTTTTTTTCGTGAAAAAAAATCTCGTGACAAGTACAGTACATTTAGTTTAGTTTACAGTACATTTAGTACAATTTGTACTTGAATAAGAAGGACGTCTATCTATAAAAATATGTAGATAGTAAACTAATTCTTTACACGATGTTGTAATGATGTTTACCAGAGATATTTAATTATATTTATCAGTTATCATCTTTTCAGAATCGATCAAAACTAATGTATCTGTAATCAATGAGTTTATTGAATCAATCGTTGTGGAATTCGTGTTTTACAGATTATAATAATATCGCGCTACTCCGCCGTTTCTGAAATCATCGCCTTTTCAGAATGTTAATTGTTCAATATATGAAGAATAATTTTATCACGCACGATCGACACGCGAAAATCATTGCGAAAAGTGGAATGTTTAACTATGAATTTGAATCGCGAGAAAAATTTTACGCTATAACATTATCTTATAATTAGAATAACGTGTTCTCTTGTTTCTTCTGCAAGATATATATAGCAACATTTTAAGGGAATTATCCGTATGTACTGTAACGAAGGTTTGATGAATCCTGATTGAATTTAGTTTTCTTCCCTCCCCAAAACAATCAATGTCAGGTGTCAATCAAATTGTACATATGTTTTTATTAACATCATTCGCGAAAATTTTGTAGAATTTCATGAGCGTAATACTAATGATCCCGCTGACAAAGCTCTAGGATATACTGGAATAATGCGTGACGTAATGCGCGTATTATATAAAATAGACGTAATAGATAGAATATATCTCAGAATAAAGTTCATTGTAATTGAATTATAAAATATCACAGCACGTTCAATTTATTTTAATACTTTCAAATAATTAAATAATTAGAAGATTAACGTAACAATATTTTTAATTGCTTTCCGTATAAATTAAATACAGTTTATTAATGTTTTAAATCGTAAAATTTACCCACATTTTGCAATAGTTTGATAGTATGATATTTCGTTTTAGTAATTTCAATAATAACATTGAAATTAAATTTGTTCGTAAATAATATATCATTTTGTTTTTTTGATAAAATTGATAATAGATAACGTCACTAGCGAAGAGTAAGATATTTATCTCTAAGCTTGACAATAAATGGATATAATTGTAGACTATCTTTTTATTATTTAACGGATCTTTCAATAAAAAATGCTTTATAGTGCTCTTAACTGTCGGTAATAGGCTGCTGGCCTATGTCATTTTATTATTTTATTAAAACATTACTTCAAATATTATTTATCACATAAGAAACGCTTGTACTATTTACTCTCTACTTTTATTTGCAACAGGAATTGTGATTTGTGTAGTCGTATATAATCTCGCAAAAGACAGTAATTTTACCCTCATCAATATTTTAACAATATCAAAAATTTTCATTCCATTCTACAAAGAGAAAATAAGGTGCCAATCTCGGGAATATAATGCATTTTGAGACACTGTATCGGAAATTGCAATGGCGCATTTGCGAAGACACACGATAAAGTCCGTAGCTTCATAGTATTGTATTACATTTAAACTTTAAGAACCCAGATTCGACGAAACCGTCGATTTGACTTAGTACTATTGCTGATATTCAAAATATTGAGCGAACAATAGCGATTAATAAGGATTCATCAAACTCAGTAGCGTAACATAATAGTAACATAATCTTTATCTATACATTATTTAAAAAGCAGCTAAATTGTGTTAAATCAAGCTAGTGGGGAAACACCATTTAAGCTTCTAAAAAATCTCAAATATTACATGTTTCTCTGAATACATTAATTTTCAATATTCTGAGCTTCTACAGTAACGCGTTCAAATCTTAGTTCTCTCTTTTTTAGATATTACTTAATATTAAGTAGGTATTTTTACTTGAATCGATGTGTATAATGACTTTTCCAAAGTCTTGTACAATGTGAACGCTGTGTTCTATTGCTTTTGGAGTGTTTACCTATACTTTCGATATAATTAGGATTAGTGCCCGCGATTTTCTTCATAAATACACGGGCACATTACGTATTAACGACTTATAAGAATATATATAAATACATAAAAAAGGACGCTATACGCGTAATTTGACATAGAATAATACGTAATTGTCGATCTCGTAAATTCAATAGTTTTTGCTAACGTTTATCAAAATCAGTATCCTAAATAAATTCTTATATCTTTATTTTTAATTTCCGGTTATTAAAAATATATAATTATATGACTACAAATAATTCTGTCAATATTATTATATAATAACATATTATTATATTTATTATTATTAAC